AATCCCAAGCCACCAGTAAAGCCCAGTGTATGAAGCAGCCAGCCTAGATCTCTAGAACCATATGTATATTTGCCCTCTAGAGTCCTGAGCCATAAGACTTCAATTGTCAGAGCTTGGCACTATGGACTCCTGGGTCTGTCATCTTAGCCATAAGCTCTTTGCACTCAAACTTGCAGGTCAGCCACCATCAGAAGGGTTGCTGTTCTTCAACCACTCTGTTTCTGAGGAGAATCATAGGTGCCCAGGTAGCTGATTCCTAGCTCTTCTGTGGACTATGCAGTAATTTCTCTAGTTTTTCATCTTTTATTTCTGCTTCTTCTTTCTCCTGCAAGCTAATACCATTATTTTGCTTCCCATCTTCCAAGCCTTCCATCTGACCTCCTCACCATAGATTATGACCTAGCCCTAGACTGCCCATGATATTTATGGAGTTAATTATTTGCATTAAAAAAATGTCAGTTGGGAAAGAAAAAAAAAACACGATCATCTCATTAGATGCCAAAAAAGTATTTGACAAAATCTAACACTCCTTCATGTTAAAAGTCTTGGAAAGCCAGGCCAAAGAGGAAGACAATGCAGCCAGTTCTGATGAGACTTCATAGGCTAGGGTCAGATGGAAGAAGGGGAGGAGGACCTCTCCTATCAGTGGACTGAGGGAGGGGCATGGGAGGAGAAGAGGGAGGGAGGATAGGATTGGGAGGGGACAAGGGAAGGGCCTACAGCTGGGATACAAAGTGAATAAATTATAATAATAAAAAAATAATATAAAAAGGGGGGGAAGTCCTGGAAAGATCAGGGATACAAGGCACATACCAAAACACAATAAAGACAATATACAGCAAGCCTATAGCCAACATCAAATTAAGTGGAGAGAAACTTAAAGCAATCCCACTGAAATCAGGGACAAGGCAAGGCTGCCCACTCTCAACTGTATCTCTTCAATATAGTACTTGAAGTCCTAGCCCAGTGCAATAAGACAATTAAAGGAGATCAAGGGGATATAAATTGTAAAGGGAGAAGTCTTAAAGTGTTGCTATTCATAGATGATATAGTATCGATAAGTGACCCCAAAAATTCTACCAATGAACTCCTACTGATGATAAACACTTTCAGCAAAGTGGCTGGATACAAGATTAATTCAAAACAAAACAAACAAAAAACAGTAGCCCTCCTGTATACAAATGACAAACAAGCTAAGAAAGGGTATAGGGAAACTACACCCTTCACAATTGCCACAAATAATATAAAGTATCTTGGTGTAACTCTAACCAAACAAGTCAAAGACCTGTATGACAAGAACTTCAAGTCTCTGAAGAAAGAAATTGAAGAAGATAATAAGAAGATGGAAAGATGTCTCGTCTTCATGGATCAGTAGGTTTAACATAGTACAAATGGCCATCCTATCAAGAGAATCTACAAATTCAATGCAATTCCCATCAAAATTCTAACCAGTTCTTTACAGACCTTGAAAGAACAATTCTAAACTTCATAGGGAAACAAAATACCCAGATTAGCTAAAACAATCCTATATAATAAAAGAAGGTATCTGGAGGTATCTGACTTTAAGCTATACTACAGAGCAGTAGTAATAAAAACTGTGTGGTATTGGCATAGAAACAGAATGGTTGATCAATGGAATCAAATCGAAGATCCAGAAATAAACCCACATACTTACGGACACTTGATTTTTGACCAAGAAACCAAAACCATTCAATGGAAAAAAGAAAGCATCTTCCACAAATGGTGCTGGTACAAGTGGATTCCTACATGTAGAAAAATATCTATCACCCTGCACAACACTCAAGTACAAGTTTATTAAAGATCTCAACATAAAACCACCACTGAATGTACCAGAAGAGAAAGTGGGCAAGAGCCTTGAACTCATTGGCATAGAAGACAAATTCCTGAACAGAACAATAACAGCTCAGGCTTTATGATCTACAATTAATAAATGGGACCTCTTGAAACTGAAAAGCTTCTTTAAGGCAGAGGACACTGTCAATAGAACAAAAAGGCAGTCTACAGATTGGGAATAGATCTTCACCAATCCTACATCCTAATATCCAAAATATATAAAGAGCTCAAGAAATTAAACACCAACAAACCAAACAACCCAATTAAAAAATGGGGTGCAGAGCTGAATAGAGAATTCTCAGCAAAGGAATCTCAAATGGCAAAGCACTTAAAGAATTCTTCATCATCTTTAGTCATCAGGGAATTGCAAATCAAAACGCTGAGATTCCATCTTAAACCCCTCAGAATGGCAAAGATAAAAAATTCAAGTGACAGCCCATGAGTGTGGAGAAAGGGGAACACTGCTCCATTGCTGGTGGGAGTACAAACTTGTACAACCACTTTGGAAATCAATCTGGCCCTTCTCAGAAAATTGGGAACAGCTCTATCTCAAGACCCAGCTATACCACTCCTGTGCATATACCCAAAAGCTGCTCTACCATACAACAAGGACATTTGCTCAACAATGTTCATAGCAGCTTTATTTGTAATAGCCAGAATCTGGAAACAATCTAGATGTCCCTCAATCAAAGAATAAATACAGAAATTGTGGTACATTTATTCAATGGAATACCACTCAGCTATTAAAAACAAGGAAATCATGAAATTTGCAGGCAAATAATGAGATCTAGAAAAGATTATCCTGAGTGAAGTATCCCAGAAGCAGAAAGACACACATGGTATATACTCACTTATAAGCAGACTTCAACCACGAAGTACAGAATAGACATGCTACAATTCACAGACCCAAAGAAGGTAAGTAACAAGGAGGACCCAAAGGAGGATGCTTAAATTTCACTTAGAAGAGAAAATAGGATCACAGTAGAAGTGGCTGAAAAGAGGGAACAAGGCAAGAGCCTAGCATAGCTGTCCTCTGAGAGGCTCCATCTAGCAGGGGATCGAAACAGATGCCAAGACTCACAGCCAAACATTGGGCAAAGCTTAGGGAGACTTGTGAAAAAGTGGGAGGAAGGATAGGACCTGGAGGTGCCAGGAGCTCCACAAGACCAACAGAGTCAACTTGAGGGGTTTGTGGAGACTGAAGCACCAACGAAGGACTATGCATAGACTGGACCTAGGCCCCCTACACAGGTGTAACAGATGGACAGCTCAGACTTCATATGGGTTCTCTAGTAAGGGGAGCGGGAGCTGTCTCTGACATGACTGTTGCCTGCTTTCTGATTACTCCCCCATGGTGGGACTGCCTAGTCAGTCAACAGGGAATGAGGATATGCTCAGTCTTTATAAGACTTAATGAGCTGGGGTGGGTGGGGTAAGGAGTAGGGAAGGGGGTTGCAGGCAGAGAGAGGTGGGACTGGGAGGAGAGGTAGGAGGGGCCTATGATTAGGATGTAAAGTATATTAATTAAAAAATTTTAGAAAAAGAAAACAAAAATTGTCATTTTGGTGTGGGTGGCACACACCTTTAATCCCAGCACTCAGGAGGCAGAGACAAGTGAGTTTGAGGCAACCTGTCTTCAGAGCAAGTTCCAGAATAGCCAGGGCTTCACAGGAAAACTGTGTCTTGGAAAAAAGAAAAGAAAACTAAGTTGTCAATTTTTATTGTTATTATCATTACCTTAGCACCCCCTTCATTCTCTACTCCCAGTAACACAGGCTCCTGGGTGACACACAAACACAAACCAACCAGAAATATTTTGGATTCCACTGTTTTGGTGATTTATTGGGTTGGTGAATGGTAGCTTATAGCTGTCTTGCATACATTTTGTCTATTTTGTTTTATTTTAAATGAAGTCTCTGTGTTACCTGGGCTACTCTTAATTCCTGGGTTTAAATAGTCCTGTTTGCATTATCTTCCAGAGAGTCAGGGTTATAGCTTCAACCTGCACACCCAGTACGTGCATTTTGAATTAGAGTACTTGCCTATTAAGGAAGGAGAGAGGGCATAAAAAGATGCCTTGACTTTTAATCTGACAGTTGGTAAACAATTGTGGTCAAAACTGAGATGAATTGTTTGAAGCTCTGACCACGTTAGAAGAATATTGTTTCCATGCCAATGTGTGAAGCCCTTGCAGAACTTCTTGATCATACATATATTTTCAGTGTGTGACGTTCCATCCCACTTCTTGACCAGTTGTTTTCTGTCCTGCTTCTTCTTACCCCTTCAGCCATTATAGTTCTACTAGAAGGTCACTGTTAGGTGTAGAGGATCTGTCATAATAAAAGAACCTTGTTTGCTAAATAGGTGTATTATGTGCTAATAATTTACTGCCTGACTTTCCATTGTAGAAATGATAATGATTTTTAGAACATGTTTAATTGTGATTATTTGCTTACTTTTGTTCTTGTTGGGGGGGTGCATGTGTATGTGGAAGTCAGAGGTCAACCCCAGATGTTTCTCAGGACAGCCATTCTGTATTTGGAGACAGTCTTGCTGGCATGTGGGACTTGCTGATAAGGCCAAGCTTGCTGTTCAGCGATGGCCCACTTCCCCTACACTGGGACTGTACATGGTGCTCTTCACACAGCTTAAGTGGGTGCTCTGAACTCAGACCCTCAAACTTCTATGACGAGGTCTTTTGAACAGCTTATCTCTCTAGCCCATCTTTTTTTTTTTTTTTTTAAGTATGTATGCCTTTATACTAGTGACTTAAAGATTAGAGAAACAGTTCATCACAATAAAAATGTTTTTAAAGGGCCAGTCAGCATTAACTAACATGTAACATGTACTAACCAAAGTTCTGTGGTGGTTTTGTTTCTTGAGATACACTCCTTTTTTTTTTTTTTTTTAAGACCTTTATTGACAGGTGCTTGCAGTTTGTTGATTTAAAAAAAGAAAAAAATCAAGTTGTAAACTTTTATTACAAATTAAAAATGAAGTTCATAAAACTCAGATATGAAACGCTTTAAAAACTATTAAAGGTGTGTTCTTAATGAGGATGACCTAGCAGTCCGTGTTCTGTGGTGAATAGACTACGAACTGACACAAATTCACTTTCTCATGTCATGCTGTCTTTTGCTTTGCAGCCTCGGTAGATCTTTGGATGAAGCCATTAAACTGACTGCTTGCCATCATGAGCAGAAGCAAACGTGACAACAATTTTTATAGTGTAGAGATTGGAGACTCTACCTTCACAGTCCTAAAACGATACCAGAATTTAAAGCCAATAGGCTCAGGGGCTCAAGGAATAGTGTGGTAAGTTTTTATTTCAATGTAAGGCAGACAGTCTTGGACTGCTACCTCTTCTTTTTGTAATACAGATCCTTTGGTAAGTATTCGACTTCTTTCAAAAAACAAGTCAGAGCTATATAAATGGAAGCCATAATGTGGTAACTTTTTCTCAATAATTACAGGTCTTTTTTATTATGCATAAGATGTAACTATTAGCCAACACTGCTATCTTGAAATATAAATCATGATTAAATACTTACTTGGTTAAGGTTATAAGAGACATATACTTATATCAGGAAAGAGGAAGTGGCAGGCTTGTTCATTCCATGAGTCTACCTTTTCCCATAGCTCATTAGTGAGATGCCTCATTTAATCTCCCCTTTCACTCTGTAATGAAATAGGAATTTCAGAAATCTTACCACTTTACCCTGGGGAGTAAAGTCCGCTATACAGCTCACTATGTTCCAAAACTTATGTATCTTTAAAGTTGATTTATAAGCTAACTTCTACAAAAAGGCCCAGGTTTTATAGATGAGCATAATTCTTTATAAACTGAAGTAGAAAATATGCCTTGGTATAGTTGTGCTACTGACTTAGAACCACCAGGTTAGCATTATAGTCTAGTGTTTAGGAAATGCTAAACCATACCCAAGCATAATTAACATCTTTATTATTTCTTTTATTGTTGTTATTATTTCTTAAAATTTATTTAAAATTTGTTAAAAGAAGTTGGAAGTTGGAAGTGTTTATGATTTAGCATGTCTGTAAGGTTCTAGAAAGCTCTCGCATATGTGTACAGATATATGTACATAGAGCTGTTTGAAAAATTATTCTAATAACAAAAGTTGAAACAGTGTCAAGTCTGGCAACAGGAACATAAAATTATGATAGAGTCAAACAGCAAAATACTATGCAATATTAGAATGAACTAGAGCTATATGTGTCAGTTGGGCATTATCAGAAGTATAGAGCTGAGTATTAAAGCAATCTACAAAAAAAAAAGAGGGCACCTTATTTCTCTGTAATGTAAAGTGTACAAAACAAAAGATAAAAGCTTTTCTCTGAGAATCGAAGAGTAGGAAGTTTTTTACCTGTAATACTTTTTTTTTTAAATCAGAACAATTATGTTAAAATAGTAAAATGAACAGAATTATATAATGGAAATATTGACTTCTATTTTTTCTAATGTCATCAGATCTAATATTCATATTTATTAATAACTTGAGTTTTTAGTTCCTTCTCCAAAACAAAATGTTAAAGGATTTGTATTTTTTAGTCTTCTCAATGTAGCTTCCTTTCTGTACTCATTGTCTTGTGTCCTATTAAAACTCTAATATTCTTCATTAAATATATTATAATTTTTAAAATTTTACATTTATAGGTGTTTTGCCTGCGTATGAGTCTGTCTGCCACTTGTGTGTTTAGTGCCTGTGGAGTCCAGAAGAGGACATTGGATTCCCTGAAACTTGAGTTACAGAAAGTTGTGAGCTGCCATGTGGGTGCTGGGAATCAAACCTGGGTTCTTTGGGAGAGCAGCTAGTGTTCTTAAACAGCTGAGCCATCTCTCCAGCCCCAGAATTCTTCAGTAAATATTTTAAGTAGAAGTCATGACCACATAGCCTGTCTTTCTTGATAGAGATGCAAGGTAAAGGAGTCATTTAGACTTCAGACAAAAGAAGCTGTGCATCAATGGCTCAACGGGCAAAGAGAGGAACCTCCCATTAAGACTGACTGCCTGCGTTCACTCCCCAGGATCCATGTGGTGGAGGGAGAGAACCAAGTCATACAAACTATTTTCTGTATTCCACATGACATCCTTAACCCCCCTACTCCCATACACACATACTAGATAAACTTTTAAAATGTAATTAAAAAAAAAATAAAAAAAACAAAATACTGTGTGCTAGTTCCTGCCTGTGCTCAGTGTATCTTAGGTGACACAGTCTGGGTAGAAAAAGTAAGAAGTCTGCATGGTTGCTGTGTAAATTTGGTTTTAGAGAGTATTGTGCTTAATGTTTTTTTGGGTTCTTTTTTTTTAATTTCTTATTACAGTGCAGCTTATGATGCCATTCTTGAAAGAAATGTTGCAATCAAGAAGCTCAGCCGGCCATTTCAGAATCAGACTCATGCTAAGCGAGCCTACCGAGAACTAGTTCTTATGAAATGTGTTAATCACAAAAATGTAAGTGAATATTTCACGTTTCTGAAGTATAGGTGGAATCAAGATTTATTCATGAATACCTGCCTGTCAAAGTTAAAAAAAAATATATTAGGGGCTTTAAATTGCTTCTCTAGATTGAAACATTGTTTAAAATCTATGGAGTAATCTTCCCCACCCCACCCCCATTATTATATATAGTGTGGAAAGAAAATGAAGGACTTCTAAAATTTAGATTGGATAGTTTCCTGGCATTGAATTCATAGAAGGTATTTTAAGGAGATAAGTGTTTGAAAAGCTTTTTATTCATCTTACGTCTTTTTGTTCCCTGTAAAGCTGGCATTTCAGAAAGCTGTACAGAGATGAATTCAGTTCCATTTTACTTGAACATTGGGACTTACTAGAACCCAAATTCAAACTTCTTTTTTGCACCTAATTCTGACTTCTAAGAAATGGAATCAGTACTTTTACTCCAATAACCACCGATAATAATAGCTGAAGAAAAACTTTGGAAATAGCTGGCTGTTGGTAGAGCAAGCCTTTAATCCCAGTGCTCGGAAGGCAGAGGCAGGTGGATGTCTGAGTTTGAGGACAGTCTGGTTTGCAGAGTGAGCCAAGGCTGTACAGAGAAACCCATCTCGAAAAACAAAAACAAAAAAAAAAAAAAACTTTGGAACGAGGTAAACATTTCTAACTTGAACATAAAACTTTTTGGTTTTTCAAGACAGGGTTTCTCTGTGTAGCCTTTGCTCTCCTTGACTCACATTATAGACCAGGTTGGTCTCGAACTCACAGAGATCTGCCTGGCTCTGCCTGCCAGAGTGCTAAGATTACAGGTATGCACCACCACACCCAGCTGAAAAGAAAACTTTCATTCATTTTGATAATGAAAAGTTAAATGTTTTAAATTTTGCATTAAGCATACTTATATGTTTGTGATTATCTTAATGCGACAGTCCTTCCAAACTGGGAGGATATAAACTAGGAGAGAATTGCATAGAGAACAGTTTTATGAAGCATTAAACGGAAAGTGCTGGCCAGAGACATATTGTCTAGTGCAGTTTATAAGATACAGTGAGTTCCATTTCTGGTGTAGAATATACAGTTCATCACATTTTGTGATCTAGCCCACCTTTAGAACCTTTGTATATTAAAGTTACAGATTCATCACCAATGAGAAATGTGTAGATGTTAAGGATTAGGCTTATTATTTGGGAAGTTTATGATACTGATTTGAAGGCAGTGAAACATGCTTTGTTAAATACCACAACGCAGTAATAATTTATCTGTCAGATGATAGAGGGCATACAGTAAATGCTGAGATCTCAAGAGGGAGATTTCTGTGTCAGTGAACTGGGAAGGCTTACCAGGCCAGGAGAGGAGACCTAAGCTGACTTTTTTTTTTTTTTAAGTTTATTTACTTTACATCCCAAAGGCACCCCCTCCCAAGGGCACTCTTCTTCTAGTCCCTCCTTTCCCCTTCCTTCTCCCTTTCCCCCAAGAAAAGGGGAGCTCCCCTCTTCCCTGCACCGACCCTTTCCTGCACATCAAGTCACTTCAGAACTGAGCATATCTTCATCTACTAAAGCCAAGAAAGGCAGCCCTGCCAGGAAGAAGTGATCCAAAAGCAGGCAGTAGAGTCCATGTTAAAAACACTCCTTCCTCTCACCATGCAAACACATGAAGACCAAGCTACACATCGGCCACATATGTGCAGGGGGCCTTGGTCCAGACCATGCATGCTCCTTAGTTGATGTCTCAGTCTCTGTAAGCCCCTGTGGGTCTGGCTTAGTTGTCTTTGTTGGTCTTCTTATGGGGTATCTGTCTTCTTGAGGTCCTTCCATCTTTCCTCCAACACTTCCACAGGATGCCGGGAGCTCTGTTCCATGCTTGGCTGCAAGTCCTAGCGTCTGTCTCTGATCCGCTGCTGGGTGGAACCTCCCAGATGACCGTCATGTTAGGCTTCTGTCTGAAAGCAGAGCAGAGCATCATTAATAGTGTCAGGGCCTGGCTCTCTACCGTGGGGTGAGTCTCAGGCTGGACCAATCATTGGTTGGCCATTCCCTCAGTCTCTGTTAAGCTGACAATTAAAAGTTGAGGTGAAAGTTGGTTTTTTGAAAAAGGGGGCTGACAGAGGAAAGTGTTCATTATCAAGGAAGAAACTATAGTATTTCTTGTTGAAGATGGGAGCCAGACATGGTGCTTGCCAGAGTTATGCTTGTGGTCCCTACCTCTGCTAGAGCTGCTCATGCCCTTTCTAGTCTGGACATAGTTTCTTTTAGGGCTGTAGAAGTGTTGCCTCAGTTTTTCTTTGTTGAATTCAGATGCTGTTTCCCCTACCATGGGTGGCAACAAAGTCTTTCCATTTGCTAAATGGAGACTGTGGGAAGCATGTCCTGTATGCTTAGCCATCTAAAGTAGCCCAGACTGGATGCTCAACATAGTTTGTTCATTGAATGAATATAAAAAAATTAATATCGTAAAAACTACTCTGCCACTTATGGTGTATGAGTGGTATTTTGTAATGTTTTCTGTTTTTAGCACTTTGTTGTTCTTGACAGATAATCTTGAAATACTGTTTCCCCACTTTTTTCAAGGTTCTTGTAATTCTTAGTTTCTCTTTTCACCTGGCCTCTCTGATGAGGCAATTAGCACAGTGCTGTATGTCTGATGGATTTCTCTAATAGCTGTGAGGTCTGTCTCTCTATTGCAGATAATAATCCACTTGACTCACATTGTCTAACAGTTATCAGTGTGACTTGATAGCAAGTCACATTGCATCCTGCTGCTTTGAGAAAATCAAGTATAGTACTTTCTGCTGTTCCCTTTTAGGTATCAAAGGTAAAGTATAGCTATTCTCAGAGTTTTAGAGATCCCCACTCCTACACCTCATACATGCATACAAAATCTTCATTCTTAATTTACATTACTGTTTCACTTACCAGAATTGCTCAGATTGTCTTCATAATAGCTGGAACCACTAAGCTATTGTAGAAGTTGCCATGTATAACTATCAGAATGATCCAGGTTCCCCTAATTCTTCTTCATGCTCAACGCATGAAATTAGAGACAATTTTCACAAATCCCTTTTTGAAATCTTTAAATACTGTATCTAGTTGCATTATTCCTCTCTTACTCTTATTATTTGTTGTATTTTGTCCACAGAGGAAAATAGTGTTTTTAGTAAGTTTTTACTTGGTTGTGGTAATTATTAGTTCTTTGATATCTAGTCATATCCCATCCACTAATCAGTCCTTGACTTTTGTTTGACTATCTAATCTAAGATAATTTCCTGTTTGCTTTTTTGAAAAATAATACAGCTGTGTTTCCATTTGCCTTACAAAAAGCTAGGAAGATACAGTTCAATTACTGTTCAGTTCACCAACTTAAAGTAACAGTTAAATAGTTTAATATGTTCACTAATATATTTAACCAGAAAGAAACTCTGTATCATTTTGCTGTCCTCCCCTATCTCCCAAACCTAACAGCTCTAAACATCCATTAACCCCATTTTGCTTAATATCTCTCTTCTACTTTTGGTTTTCCAAAATATTTATTAAGGATAATTTTACTACTTGTCCAGGTCTCTTTGTAGGTACTTTATCTGGTTGAGAGGCTCAAATTTATTTATAGTAGTCAGGTGTCTGTGTGTGTGTTTGTGTGTTTTGCTGTTATTTCTTCTATCTTAAATAATTAGTTTTAACCTTTCTGGCTTAATGTTTTTCTGAATATTTAGTGACAGATACTTTCTATAAGCAGAGCTTAATGTATGTATGAATAGCATCCATTCTGTTCCCATGAAGATTATGTCTAGGAAAACAGTCCCTTTACCAGTAGACATTAAAATATTTTGTTGCATACTGACCCATGAAGGCAGATCAGCTAGTTCTTTCTAACAAGGATCCTCTGTGGTCTATGATTGATGAACTTGTAATGAAAATGACATTCTGCTACAGTGTGCTGGGTGTAGGAATGGCATGGTCAATGCCTCAGAGCCAAATAGAATAGTCATCTTTTCAAGGCTAGGGATTGTTAGACTGTACAAAGGAGGGCCATCTTTAAGCTCTGAAAATAAATGACAAATACAGAAATAGTATATTTAAAGGGTTTTTAAAAACTAACATGTTGAAATTACGTTGGTGTGGCCAAAGTGACGCATTTCATATTTAGCAAAAGAAGGGTAGTTAGTGTGCACCCAGGAGGACTTCAGGTAGGCTGCGGGGAGGCTTGGAACTGGCCACTGGCTTTAAATTTTGAAGGTGATAAATAATAGAATCGTGTCTTTTTTCCTATATTGTAGGAAGTAAAATGGTATCTGGATTTACTGATTTGTTAAAGACTCTACTTGTACTAGTAAGTTCAGACTAACACCATAAAATAAAACAGACTGTTTGGACTAAGCATCAAAGACTTATTTTTAGGATTATAGAGGCTAGAAAGTCCTGGATAAGGTGCTGGTTGACTTGGTTCCTGTTAACTGTTCTCTTACTGACTTGCAAACAAATATTTTCTTGCTTTGTCCTCCCGTGGTACATGAACATGGAGAAAGAGCTCTTGTTGTTATTCTTACAAGACCACTAATCTTAACATTATGAGGGCCTCAGTCTTATAACCTAATCCAACCCTAATGGCCCCATTTGTAGATACCATCTCATTAGAGTCTTTGCCTTAAGCATGAATTTGGGGCAGGCACAGGTGATCAGCCTGCTAGTCTAGTATTAGAAGTAATTATAGTATGTATGAACAGTATAGATGTGATTGTAGAATCCTTGGCCTGTAAGTACATGGAAGGAATGAGAAAACAAGGCTGAAATATAGACTGATTGAATGAACAATATTCTTTGAAATAGCTTATGGTACTAATACTGGATAAGGAGTCAGAAGTCACTCTGAGCCTTCTGTTATAAAAGGAAGGGTACTCTGAGAAAGGACTCATCATCATGAATCTTTGAAACTGATAAGCCAAGTAAAGGCTTCTAATGTATATTTGAGAATGATGTGCATATAAATTTTTGAAGAAAAAAAACATAGATAGCATGTAAGAAAAAGCATAGACATAAAAAAGGAAAAGCTTAAGGACAGTAGTGAGACATAAAATATTCTCATAGATGAAACAATGGTTAACTGTAAGTAAAGAAAATTACAAAAATGAAGCTGGAGAGCTTGCCCAGCAGTTAATAACAATTACTGTTCTTACAGAAGACCTGAGTTTGATTCCTAACAGCTACACAGTGGCTTGCAACTGTTTTTAAGTTCAGTTCCATGTGATCCAGTACCCATTTCTCACCTCCACAACACCAAATCCATACATAGTGCATGCATATATATATATATATATATATATATATATATATACATACACACACAAAATAAAAACATCTTTGAAACAAAACAAAAACAAAGAAAATGGCACAGAGAAGTGTTAACACCAGAGGAAGAAAGTACTGGGAATTCATAGAACTACTGAGGTGTATAAGAACTATTAGAAAGTACTTTTCTTTTTCTTTTATTTTTTTTTTTAATACAGCATTCTATCTACATGTGTGCCTATGTACCAGATCTCACTATAGATGGTTGTGAGCCACCATGTGGTTGCTGGGAATTGAACTCAGGATCTTTGAAAGAACAGCTAGTGCTCTTAACCTCTGAGCCATCTTTCCAGTCCCATAGAAAGTACTTAATATTTGCTGACAAATTAAGTAGATGTTGATTGAAAACAAATGCTTGATAGAGTATTTTTAAATAGAAAGTGTTTTGTGAAGCCCTTCTATTGACTTACTGTTTTCTAAGACTTTTTGAGCAGTTTCGGAGTAAATTTGAGAGAAAGATCCAAGATTGTACATATTCCCTGTCCCTGTATGTATTCAGCACCCTCAAAATCAGTGTCCCCCTACTGGGTGAGCCTTTTGTCATAGTGATAAACCTGCATTAATGAATCACCCAAAGTCCATCATTTGTGTTAAATTACATTCTATTCTTTTTGTCTTTTCAGTGCTAGGAAATTCACCCAGGTTTTCTGCATGCCTAGTAAAGGTGACCACTGACCTGGGCTCTCAGCCTATAAAGTTCATTTGGTTTAAGAGAACCTATAAGCTTGAACAAGTGTAGTACTCATTTATTTGCTCCAAAGATCTTCTCTGCCTCCTGATTATTCTTTTTCTCCTCTTTAGTTTCTAGCAGTGAAATTTTAATAAACATATGTAAGTTTACTTGTGCTTCGGGTATAAAACTGAAATGATTATAAACTGACAGTGAATTATTGTAACACATGTATTTGTCGTTCCCAAATGAAGCATTAGGAAGTAGTTTCTAATGTTTTTATTTCTTTGCTTTTGCCACAGATAATTGGGCTTTTGAATGTTTTCACACCACAGAAATCCCTAGAAGAATTCCAAGATGTGTAAGTGTAATTAAAATGCTGTTAATACAGAGTTTTGCTAGTGCCTATCTGTAGATTGCTGCTGTACACTTTAGCTGTCATCTTTTTCTGCCCACAAAGTTACATAGTCATGGAGCTCATGGATGCAAACCTTTGCCAAGTGATTCAGATGGAGTTAGATCATGAAAGAATGTCCTACCTTCTCTATCAAATGCTGTGTGGAATCAAGCACCTTCACTCTGCTGGAATTATTCATCGGGTTAGTAGAAAAATATCACCATGTTTTTTCTATGGATTTATTTTTTTTAATTTTGTGTAAGTATTTTGCTTGTATGTATTTAAGTGAACAACATACAGTGACTGCAGAGGCCAGAAGAGGGCATCAGATCCACTGAAACTGGAGTTACAGACAGTTGTGAGTTGCCACCTGGGTGCTGGGAACCAAACCTCAGTCCTCTGCAAGTTCTGCAAGTGCTCTCAACTATTGAGCTATCTCTTTAGCCCAACATGATCTTTTTCTTTTAAATCATTGAAGTGAAATTCACATCACATTAACCATTTTGAAGTATATGATTCAGTAACATCAGTCCATCTGCAGTGGTGTATAACCACCACCTATGTCAAACTCTAAAAATTTCATCACCCTCTAAGATAAAGTCCCTTACGCCCTCACTCTTCATTTTTCCTCTCTCCTCAGACCCTGGTAATTCAGTACTGTGGATTTATCTGCTGTAGATGTAAATATAATCACTATGGCCTTTTGTGTCAGGCTTCTTTGACTTAGTGTAATGTTTTTGCAGTATCTGCTGTATCATATATTAGTATGTCTTTGCTTTCTGTGAATGAATAATATTCCATGTTATATTCCACAGATAATTACAGTTAGTGTTTAGCTATGAAAATTCATATACAGTATTTATTCCATCTTCTTTAGTCTTTCTAGGTAGAATTGCTGAATCATGTGGTGTTAACTTTTTGAGGAACCATCAAGCTGTTTTTCAAATTGGGTACCATTTCACGTTCCCAGAATCCATATATAATAGTTCCAGTTTTTCTGTAACTTTGCCACTATTTAGTACCTGAGCCTTTCATTTTAGTTATCATAATGGGAATGAAGTAGTATTTTGTTGTAGTTTTGGGAAACAGTTTTCTAATGGCTACTGATGGTTGTCATAATTACTTTTCTGTTGCTGTGACGAAATGCCATTACCAAGGTAACTTATAAAAGAGCAAGTTTACTGAGGGGCTTACAGTTTTCAGAGTGTGAGTCGATGGCTCTCATGGTGGGGAACATGGCAACAGGCAGGCAGGTGTGGCACTAGAACAGTAGCTGAGACCTTAATCTGCAGGCAGCAACACAGAGAGAGCTAACTGGAATGGTGTTGGCTTTTGAAACCTCTGTGCCCACCCCCAGCTACAAAGCTCCTTACGCTTGCTGAACAGTTCACCAACTGGGAACCAAATAGTCAAACATATGAGCCTATGAAGGCCATTCTCATTCAAGCTACCACAGTGGTCAAGCATATTTTCATTTCTGGTTGGCCATTTCTGTGTTGTGATTGAAAACCGTGTATTTGTTTAGCTCTTGTTTTTTAATCAGTTGTTTGCCTTTTTGTTACTCTTATAGATTTGTATAGCTCTTCTAGTTCCATATATACAAAACCTTTACCAGACATAATTTACTAATTTATATATTGGTTTTCAGTTTACTAATGATGCCTTATTAATATTTAAATGGTTTAGGTTTCATGAAATATCAAAATTTTGTTATTGCATGTGCCCTTGTGTCTTATATAAGAATCTGTTGCCAAATTGAAGATCAAAAAAAATTCAACATTGTCTCTTTTTATAAGAGTTTTGTGGGTCTTTGGTCCATTTTGAATTCATTTTTGTATATGGTATAATGCAAGAGCCCGCCTTCATTCTCTCATGTGTAAAATTACAGTTGTCCAGCCTTCAGACAGTTGTACCAGTACCCTTCAGAATCCTGGACTGCCGGTCCTATATAATTAATCTTTATGTCTGTCTCTGTATTGGAACCACTTTTTTTTTTTTTTAACAAATTTTGTTATTTTAAGTGTGTGTGTGTGTGTGTGTGTGTGTGTGTGTGTGTGATGTCGTGTCTGTGTGTGTGAGTGTGATTGATGCTATGTGGGTATGGGGGCCCATGGAGTCCAGAGGTGATAGGATCCCCTGAAGCTGGATTTACAGGATTCCATTTTAATGCTAGATGCCAAACCCAGGTCTCCTGTAAGGTATGTGCTCTTAACTGCTGAGCCATCTTTCTAGCCCACACATGTATTTCTGTACTGCTCTGAAATGGGATGCTATGAATCCCGGGTCCTTTCTCAGTAGTTTTGAAACTGCTTTGAGTGCATATGAATTTTGAAGATTAGCTTTTCCGTTTCCACAGAAAAAGCCAATGGACTTTGGACAAAGATTTCATTGAATATGAAGAATGAATTGCTGGTTTTATCATTCCAATTTGTAAACATAAGATCTTTCAATTTCCTAAGTTATGTTAGTCTGTAGTACTATAGGTTGAATAGCTGAAACAGTAGGACTTATATATTTCCTCAATTCCAAGTACCCAAAACTTTGCAGTTTTAGTGAGGTCCATAAGCACTCGCTTCTATCTTCACGTCGTCTTTCCTCTGCCGTAAAGTGTGTCATTATGCTTCTTTCTGACTTCCACTTATGTGTTAATACACACTGAATTTCTTTCTTTTCTTTTCTTTTTTAACATCATGTCATCTGCATCATAGTTTTACTTATATTCAATTTGGGTACCTTCCCCTCCCCAAGTTGCTCTAGCTAGAACTTACAGTAAAGTGTTGAACAGTAGTAAAAATAGGCACATTTGTTTTGCTTGTCATTGTAATGGGAAAGCTTTCCATCTTTTACCATTGTATTACTCTTGTTTCGTGTTGTCACAATAGATGTTTATAAGGAAAAGAATTTATTTAGCTCAGTTTTGGAAGCTGAAAATCTGAGATCAGGTAGCATTACCAGCTTCTAGCCTAAGGCCACTTAGGCTAGTTACAAGCATGGCAGAGAAACAGAAAGCAAATCTGATTGTGTGTAAAAAAGGTGCCAAGTGTGGAGGGTGGTCTTGCTTTTTACACTCCCTCCCTCATGAGAGCTAACCCATTCCACAGACCAACATTAGGCTCTTATGAGAACAATGCCTATGACTAAACTACTTTCCAATAGCCCCACCCTCTACAGACTCCAGCACTTTAACATTGCCATTCTGAGGACCAAATTTCTAGCACATAGACCCTGGGGAAACACACTCAAACAGTCTTAATCTGTAGCCACCATTAAATATGGTTCCATTTGTAGGGCTTCTATAAATATTCTTTTTTATTATCACACTGTCTACTCAGAAGTTATAGACCCCATAAAAGTGTGCTTAATATATAATAATGTGTATAGGCTCAAGAGTCCCGATAACTACCCTCATTTCCGGTCATCTGGTTACAAATCAGCAATTCTGCCATCTCCCCAAGGTTTACTGTTTTTACTTGAGTGACCACAGAACTTCTAGTGGTAGCACACTTAAGCTGTTGTTATAACAGGTAAGAGTCAGACCAGTGTGAGAAAGAGGCTTGTATGCAGATCTGAGTCCAACATAGAGCTTTTAGTTATCTTGTTGGCTACAAAGCATGATAATGTCGTGACACCAGTCAGGGAAACTTCCCCAGACTTGTGATCCAAGTATTTTATTTGGTCACAGCAACATACCACTTTCCTAGCTGTCAATCAGCAAATCATTCTGATTCATGCTAATACATTGCATCTTCATTTCCTCCAGAGGTTGGAACTGTTGCAAGTTCCAAAGCCCTTACCATAAATTTTGTTGTTTGATTGTCCATGACCAAAACCTGTACATTAAGAGAGCAGTCCTGTCAAGCAGGATTTTCCAGAGGTTGCAGTCACCTGCAGTTCAGGGCAAAGGTTAGACCCCTTTTATAGAATATTAATTCTTCTCTATTTATCTTTGATTCCTGATTTGCATATTTTTTTGGTCATTAAAGAATGTTGAACTTAGCTGGGCATACACCTGTAATCCCAACAGCCTGGGAGGCAGAGGCAGGCAGATCTTCGTGAGTTCAAGGCCAGCCTAGTCTACAAAGTGAGTCCAGGACAGCCAAAGCTACACAGAAAAACCCTGTCTCAAAAACAAAACAAACAAACAAAGGATTTGAACTTAGCCAAAGGTTTTATGTACCAATTTAAATTACTAAAGATATGGCTTCCCTTCAACTAATAAATTATACTACATTGATAAATTTTTTGTATTTTGAACTCCCCTTTATTTCTGGGATAGATCTCATTTAGACATTGTATATATAATCTTTCCAGTATACTATTAGAACTGGCTTGCTAGTATTTTTATTGAGTTTTACCCCTGGATTCATTAGTGATTTAGTTTCTAGTTTTCCTGTGAAGATGGTTTTACTCTGACTTTGGTATCAAGGTATTGCTAATCTCAGTAAAAGGAAGCATTCCTTCCTGTCTCTTTACTGTTTATTTTTTTTCTTGTCTAGCTTGAAGATGTTAGGAAAAATAAAGTTCGGCTATAGAAATGTTCTTAATGTATAAAGTTGAGCTAACAATAGGCATTCTGAGAGGTATCTGGTGTTGCGATGACCTGTACCTTAGGCTGTACAATGCACGAAACTAGGATGGAGCTTTATAAGTAAATAGCTTATTGGAGAGTTCTGTTAGGATCAGTGTCCATAACAAAGTAAAATAGACAAAGGGAGAGGTTACATTGGCTACATGTATTTCAAAAGCCTCAGCTGGTAGCTCCTATTTAACCTGTGCACTGAAATCAGTTACTGGAGGAGTTTACTGAAGGCCACCAGCAGCCAGCCCTCCTAGGAAATGAAAGAATTAAGTGTCTCTGAGCCCAGGGTCTGAACAGACCTCACAGAGCCTATGGAAACCACTCCTTGGATGGATCACTCTTCCCCACTCTCTTAGGGCACTAAATTCTGGCTGTTCCTGCCAGATATTCTCTTGCCATCTTTTTTCTGAAACAACTACCAAAAGAAATTGATACAATAATTGTAGCTGTGTCTTCCTTTCTAGGTTCCCCTTAACTCTACCATTCTGTGATTACTCACTTGGTTTAGGATACAATCTAAAACTTTCATTCCTTCCAGGAAGTGCAGTTGCATGTCCGTGTAGGCACTTACAAGCCCTTGCTGAGACTTCTCTAACTAGCCCTCACTGTGAGCAGAAGAGAGCTGCGGTAGTGCACTGCCTCACATTCTGGCCTGGGAGTGACGCCATACCCCTACTTAGGGCATCAGCGGACTACTCAGTCCTGAAGACTGCCTTATAAAAGAGCAGGGAGATGGGAGGGGCCACTCATGAATGCTCGTGAGTACCGGTCCTGCATCAACTGTTACCTGACACACTACAGCTCTCTTCTACACCACCTTAAAGGGGATACACATTAATGTCTATATCAGATTCAGACATTGATCCTTTGGGCCCAGAAACATAGGAACTGGCTCTATCTTCCCTCTCAGGTTCCTTCCATAGACTAGTCAGGTGGAGCCAGGGGAGCCACAACAATCTCATTGGAAAACTAAAAAATACAGTAGTTGGTTGATTACTTGCAGTTGGAATTCTGCTGGATGGACATTGTAAGAGTTCTGAGGAACTGTTGTTTATATTACCTGACTGCTCCCTAGAGGAGTCCCTTTTCTCTTATTCTTCTTAAATAAATCTCCAGTAAATATTGGAGGCTGTATACTAAAGAGCTGCTCAGCCTTTTTGGCCTGCTTCCTACCCATGAAATACAACTATTTACATTTGGAACAGAGTTTCTTTCTTACTGTCCTATCCATGTAAGATGCTTAGCAGCTTTCTTGACAGCAGACATAGAGTTTTGTTCTTGCAGTGCAGCTTCTCTTACAGCTTTTTGATTTTATGTCTTTTAAAAGCATATTAGTTAGCTGACAGGCTGTATATTCTTGGAGTTACTTGAGGCTCTCTTAAGTCTACCTTCAGGCTTCCAGGCTTCTTTGGACAGACTGAAGTGATTTCCTCAATTTGAGGATTTGACACGGGCAGAGGCTTTGAGCTTTGTTTGTTACGGGAAAATGATGCATAGAAATAAGCCAAGGTGCCCACGACCTGAAAGCACAGTGCCTGCTCAGGGTCTGCAGTGTTGGCTGTGCAGCATTGCTGCAGGCCTCCTTCCAGGGGTAGCCTTTCCCTTGGGAGAAGAGTACAACCGCTAGCTTGAGCATGTTCACAATTCTTCTTCAGATCTGCTGAGCATCCTATAGTCCGTGTTCCATTAATTAAAACAGGTCACAAGGATAGGCATATAAAACCATGATGGGTGGTCCAGGGATAAGCTAAGCCATCTGTTGCCTTTTCCTGGTTTCCACTCGCATCTAGCTTGTCCAGAACAATGACACTGTTACCTTTCCTTCCACTTTCCAAGTTGCCAGTTCCTTCTCAGGCAGACAGTTGCCGCCAACAACACTCTGCCTTCTAACCTCTTACAGAGCAAGGCTTAAAAACTTTATGTAAAGATGACATTCTGGGAGGCTTTTCTTTTCTTTTTTCTTTGTGAACATAACCTCTGTTTCAACTACTAGCTGTATTCTGCCCTTCTGTCACAAAAGCAGTCATAGATAACACGGGGTGAAATTAGTGTTGTTAAGTTTGCATAAAACTAACTTTGCAAAAGCAATCAGGCTCTCAGTTGTCAGCCCCTGGTCATTATGCAAGTCCTGTGCAGATGACATAAAATACTTTGCTTCTGCATGATTTGTGTCTTTTTTCATTTTGATAACTGCTTTCAGTGCTCTTCAGTCACAAGCTCATAGTCCTGTGTCCTTGCATAAATTGTCTGACTCTGAAATGCTTGGCACCAGAGTGTTTCAGATTGTGGAATTCTTAATATATATTTGAGACAGGATTTCTCTGTGTAGCCTTGCTGTCCTGGACTCAACTTTGTAGACCAGGCTGACCTCCAACTCACAGAGATCCACCTGTCTCTTGAGTGCTGGAATTACAGGCATGCACCACTGCGCCCAGCTGATTGTGGAATTTTTTGAATGTTAGATATTTTCATAGATTCTCCCAGATGAGCATCCCTAATCTGAAAATCAGAAATCCAGTACTGGCATTATGGACCCTGTATTGTGGACTGATTTGAGGCTATCTTTAAGTTTCTTTAGCATAGACATCAAAGTAGATATAAGAACCTTTGAATACTGCCAGTTACACTTAAAAAAAAAAAAGACTTATATTTGGCCCTTTCAGATTTTAGATGAGGGATATTCAACATGTAATAGTAACTCCTCATTCATGGGTCAGTTTCAGCCAGAATAAGCTAGGCTTGGCTACAGTAACAGAAACTTTTTTTGTTGTTTTGTTTTGTTTCTTTTCAAGCAGGGGTTTTTTTGTGTATCCTTGGCTGTCCTGGAACTCTCTGTGGACAAGGCTGGCCTCAAACTCAGATCAGTCTGCCTCTGCCTCCCGAATGCTGGGATCAGATGTGTATGCCACCACTACCCAGGCAAATACCAAACTCTTAGTAGCTAAATATGACTAAGGTTTATTTCCCACATGATGTGTGCAAGCAGATCATGGTGGGGATGTGCACTTAGCTTAATGTATAGATGCCCACTATCTAGAATGTTCCTAATCACCAAAGCAAGAGAAGATCTGTACGATATCACATGCTGCTCCTTCTCCACTTTGTTCCCACGTTGACACTACCTACTAGGTCTACTCTTGCCACCTTGCCTGACTGGAGAGGCTTAAAAATGGAATGCTAAATTATTTCTAGTCTCTTTCTCTTTGTGTCTCTGTCTCCAGTTTCGTTCGGTTTGGTGTTTAAGACAGAGTTTCTCGGTATAGCCTTGGCTGTCCTGGACTCACTCTGTAGACCAGGCTTTCCTCAAATTCACAGTGATCCACTTGCTTCTGCCTCCCTGAGTATATTTCTGTTCTTTCTGCACGAATAAGTGTAATCTCCAAGACATTCTTCCCATATGTACTAAAAAAATGTTAGGATATAAAAAGATAAACACTAAAAGAAAAAGGTGAATTTTAGTTAATATTCTTAGAGTCAAATATCCTTGGCAGTTTACTTCCTTAAACTGTTTTTTTTTTCTAAATAATCTATTTGCTCATAATTGTTCCAGAACAAAGAGTGTTTTGAGCTTTTTCTAGACTAGAACTTCCTAGTATAAAGAGCCAGTAACCTCCAGCTATAACAACAGACATGAAAGTGATACTGAAATTCATAATGTTTATTCTTACTCATGGACATTCTTTGTTTTATATCCTATATTTTAGAAATGTTAGCAACATTCTATTTGCAGAATAGGAATGACAACATTTTTGTCTTCTGTTGGAGTGACCTTGTATTCTTAAGATGGCTTGTCAGAATAAGAAACCACATACAAGCATTCCTGCATGTTTAAAAAGAGATTAGATTTAAAAAAGAGATCCAATTTAAAAAGAGATCTTTGTCTTGAGGGCCTTAGCTTTGAGTGTTTATATCTGCTCTTCATCTGTGCATGTGAGATAATATCCTATGGATATGATTATGTATCAAAGCCAGCAAGCAAAAGCATGAAGATGTAAAGCCCTGGGTTTTTATGCCACTGCCTTCATTTTAGTAGGCATCACACAGATTTTCTTCTGGCGGGAGCGGAGTGGCAGTTTTTTTTTTTTTTTTTTTTTTTTTTTTTACGAAAACATTATTCAGTACTTTTAACAGAAAGTAATTTTATAAACTAGTGGCACCAGCACACTAGTGTCCACTCTGTGTGAACAAAGTTTGTGAGCAAATGTTGGTGACATTATGTGGGAAGTCAGAAATGGGCAGGCTGATAATTTCTTTTTCTTCTTTTCAACCAAGCATCTATTATACAAGATTGATTCCCAAGCCTCTCTCCCCACAAAGTCGAATATGTATGAGAGACGATCATTGACCAAATAACGTATACCAGGATTATATCAAGATTGCATGAATATTGGCAGAATGTTCCATAGTGGTTTTAGAGTGCTATAAAGCTTTTTGTAACTTTAGAATGATATTTTTAATGCTATTAATTTAGTATGTAAATGCTAATATATGATGACTCTTACCATAATAGCTTTAATTCTTGTCCTTGATTGGTAACTGAGATAGGGTCTTGCTATGTGTCATGATTTGCTTTCATTGAAAACACTGATCAAAAGTAATCTGGAAGAAAGGGCTTATTTCATCTGACATTTTAATGTAACAGTCTCTATCTCTGAGGAAAGTCAGGGCAGGAACCTAGATTAGGAAGCTGACGCTATGGAAGAGTACTGTTTACTGGTGCGCTCCTCCACGGTATGCTTATTCAACCAGGATCACCTGCCCAGAGATGGCACCATCTACAATAGGTTGGACCATCCTTCATCAATTACTGATTGAGAAAATACCCGGACAGAGCTGTCTAGTGGCCATTCTGGTAGAAGTTTATCAGTTGTTGTTCCCCTTTTCAGATGTCTCTAGCTTCTGTGTCAAGTTAGTAAAACAACTGAGCAGTACACTGTGTATGTTGAACTTCCAGCCTTTCCGTTTTGTCCTTGAGTACAGGGATGTCAAAGGATGAGGCCACTATGGCTAGCACAGAAGTTCTTAAGTGAGTTTTATGATGCTTTTCCTTATCTCTTGCTGTATTTGTATAAGAATTCCTAGCTCGTCCTAATTTCTAGGAAATAAAACATTACTGATGTCTGTACTGGGTTTATATTCATGTAAATGAAATGATCTTAAATCTGACTTTTTGGGTTTGCCTATTTGTAATAAATCTCTGCAGTGGTATTTCAGTGAAAACAATGAACAATTAACATATTGTTTGACAGATTATGTAACTCAGTTAAGTAGTAAAATCTGTGTCTTAGCAATCATTTTAATGTTTATTTCTTGAAGGACTTAAAGCCTAGTAATATAGTAGTCAAATCAGACTGCACTTTGAAGATCCTTGATTTCGGACTGGCAAGGACTGCAGGGACGAGTTTTATGATGACGCCTTATGTGGTGACTCGCTACTACAGAGCACCAGAGGTCATCCTTGGCATGGGCTACAAGGAGAACGGTCAGCATATGCTTTCACTTTGAAATATTCTTCTGATTTAGTTTATCAATAAGATTTTTATATATTTAAATTGAAGTGCATGGAATTAAGTGTGCATCACTGTTTCCATTGTGTATCAAGTATTTAAACATCTTCCCATAAATGTTTGGGAAGGTTTGAGGTCTTAAATGTGAATACTTTCTAACAGTCCTACCCCTAGATAAAGAATTCTAAAACCACGATTTATGACTTCTGCTTGTCTGTAACTTAAACATGAGCATACACTTCTTAGTAATTTAATCTTAGTAATAATTCTAGTTTTTATTAATCATATTTGCTCATATCTCTTAACACCTTTAGTCATTGTTACAGTAATACTCACAGGCAGAGCTTGGTGGTACAGGCCTGTAATCCCAGCACTCAGGAGGCACAAGCAGGTGGATCTCTGAGTTTGAGGCCAGCCTGGTCTACAAATTGTATTCAGCCAAGGCTGCACAGAGAAACCCTGTCTCAAAAACAAACAAACAAATGAAATATAGTAGCACTCACTATAAATTCAAGAGCTACATTAAGGCCCAGTTCTGGAAAGCTAGTGGAGTCAACCTCTTGTGCAAAACACTAGTGTTTGATTACAGCCTGTATCTCGCCTTACAGCCTGTATCTCGCCTTAAGGAGATTGCATGTGGTATGATGTGTGGATATGTTGAGTTAGACCATAACTTTTTATGTGTGGCATATTTCTAGGAAGGAAATTGCAACAGTTGTTCACTTTGAACCAGAAAACTGTTAAGTCAGTCTTGAAGACTCTATACATACATACAAGATACATATGCACATATATGATACCATTGAAATTAGGGTCCTTGTTTAATTTCCTCTTCTTTTTTGAGCTAATTAAAAACACTTTAAACAGCACTATCACTTTTTAAGTAAACATCCTGTTCTGTTTTCTTAGTCTCAGCATAAGATTTCAAGTTTTGTTTTGAGAATTGATAAACAAATTGCTGTTGGTTTTGCTGTGAAACTTTTGATTATCATAGAAATTTCACTATGTCTTAGGGGTGACATACAGATGATGTTCTTTCAGTCAATCAGTCTCTCCCTCTCTCTGTCTCTGTCTCTCTCGTGCGCGCGCGCACACACACAAACACACACACACACACATACACACACACACTTCCTGTCTTGTTTTATTGTAGAGTACTTAAGAATATTTTGGAAAATTTGGGGTAATCTAATCTATTTAAACTGCCTGACAGAAAATTAGACCCCTTGTAGCAAGTATGGTGGTCTGCAAGACAGCTCTTTGTAGATCAGATCTGTAGGTCCTTTGATACTGCATTCACCCAAAACTAACTTTTAAACCCAAAGCAATTTGGTCTTATGAGTTAAAAACAAACAAACAAACAAACAAACAACACCTTAAATAGAAATAATGAAAAACACTTGTTTACCAAGGTTTCTCATTAGATGAGCTGTTCTTTCTCTGCATTTGTTCCTTTATGGGTAGAGGTGGGTATAAATGTAAAGTGATGTTGCCAAGAAAATAACTTACTGTTTAGTTCAGAATAAACAAAGCTTTTTCAGTTGAATAACCGTGTGAAATCTAGTTTGAAATTTTCTGAGAAAAATTAATATTTCATTGAAATCCAGAGGCATTCTTTTTGTTTTTAATATACTAAATTATTTCTGCTCATGCTTTTTTATTTAACTTAAAGGGAGAGTAAAATGCACAGTTAGACCTCAAAATAGTATATCTTATTTTTGTAATTTTATATATTCTTAACCTTATATATAAAGTTTTTTTGGTTCTTCTTTGTATATTACAAGCAAATTCTCAGTTATAAAATGTATAGTTTTTAATAAACAATTTCTGTGCATAACTCTCACTTTAAAATTAGTGTATGTAATTAAAATGCCATACTTCATGTTTTCTTTTGTGAATCAGAGCTTTTTGAAAAATATTTTCTGTTTTAAATTATTCCATTATTTGAAATTAAAGCCACCTTTTTTGTGATGTTCTGCAGTTTTTTAGATGATGCAGTCATATTATGCTTCTTTGATTTTAATGACCTTTTGCTTTGCTTTTCCTTCTTTTGTGCTGCAAACATATAGTGGATTTATGGTCTGTGGGGTGCATTATGGGAGAAATGGTTTGCCACAAAATCCTCTTTCCAGGAAGGGACTGTATCCTTGTGCTACTGCAGCAGATTAATCAGCTAGGTGATGAGCTTCCTTTTGTTTGCTAATGAAAAGGGATATGTGCTACATTTGTACATTGAGGTTTTTAAATAGATGTAAAGTTTGTGGCTGTTACAGTTCAAAAAATTGTTGAGCTAAGAAACTGAAGTGTTCGTAGGCTGCATCTGGCAGCAGGACATACAGTCTCTGCTGGTAGTCAGAGTACATTCACTGTCATTCATTTTTATTTTGTATTGCTTTTTATAATTTTAAGTGTATATGGTGTGTGTGGTTTTTTTTCAGTGTTTATATATTTTTTCTTTTTATTTTAACCAAAATCTTTATGTTAATGTCATTGCATTTTGTTTTCAGTTGACATTTGGTCAGTTGGGTGCATCATGGGAGAAATGATCAAAGGTGGTGTTTTGTTCCCAGGTACAGATCGTATCCTTATCTTTGGCCTAAAGTATAGTTTCTAAAGGTCAAAATGTATGGTACCATGTCAACCTGGTCAGGTGGAATGTATTTTGTCTCTCCCTAATACAAAGTATTGTTAAATTACTCTTCCAGAATACCACCTGTTACTTGACATAGACTTTCCTTTTTCTCATTTATTGTGTCATATGTTAATTTTGAAACGTACTCAAGTGTGACTATTCACAGATTCTTGATGACTTTTAGTTGATTAACATACAGAAATTATGGCTTTCACTAAAAATTTCTAACTTTTGAGGAAGTCCTTAACTACTTTAAAGGTAGCATGAAGTTTGAAATTATCTGTTGTTCCTGTTTTGTCTTTTTTTTTTTTTTTTGGTTCTCTGTATCTTTCTGTTACTGTTCTGTTTGTGTTATGTCTTATTTCATTACGTTAACATAATATGCTGAGAATGTTGGCAATAAGTTTCTTATGTTGGTAATTAGGTTGAGATTCATGCTTTTAATTCATCAATTTTTTAATTTATGTTAACAATGATGTGTCGATCAGTGAGTAACAGTTATTTTAGGTAAAATGAGAATATTCACCACGTTACAGTTAGAATGTGTAAGACATTAGTCTTCTAAGGTTTGGAGCATAAAGACTAGAAGGAATAAGGCCAGAAAATCCTAGCCTACAACATACTGAGATACTGGTATCATTTTCATGCATTTCAGAGCTTAACAAGCGTGATTAACATTGGCAAACCTGAGAATGGCAAAAGAAAATGCTACACTTACCAAAGTCGTCATATTTATCACTGTTAGTGTAAAGAACTCAGAAAAGCAGGACAGACTAGAAATAGTTCTTACTCTGTAGGCAGTGCATTTATATTTTTTTGAAGAGCTAAGAAAAAGGTGAATTTTTACATATTAAAATTTTGTGTAGTTTGCTTATTGAGTCTTTATAGTAATGAAAGTTTATAGTTGTAATTTTTATTTTGAATTTGCTTGTTTATGCCTCCATTTTATGGTAAAATTAGTGTTTATATATACCTGCACACTAAATAAGATTAACAAAGCTTATTTATTGATTATTCTTATTCACTGTAAATCAATGCCTTTTGCAAGGTGGCTTTGAAATACAAAATACATAATAACATATAATGGCCACATTCTTTAGGATCTTTAAATTTTCCTTTTTCTTGTATTTAATGTGGATATGATTAAAGTGTTGAACATTTGATACATGGAGTATTTTTCTTAGCTACTTTATAATAGATATTGATCAATGGAATAAAGTTATTGAACAGCTTGGAACACCTTGTCCTGAGTTTATGAAGAAGCTACAACCAACAGTAAGGACTTATGTCGAAAACAGACCTAAATATGCTGGATATAGTTTTGAGAAACTATTCCCTGACGTGCTTTTCCCAGCTGACTCAGAGCATAACAAACTTAAAGGTAAGTTTTATAAATGTGTACACTACATTCTGTTTGGGCAGGATGTGTGGGAGGAATGTTTAGTCATATTCTTAAAGGATCTAACTCAATTATGTCTGCCAGCGAATACAAAATTGTTGTTCTTATGCCTCCCCCTTTCCTTTATACACACATATACACACAAATGAAAAATGCAATAAATCAAGCTGACTGTGGTGGTGCCTCTAATTTCAGCACTCAGGAGGCAGAGACAGATGGATCTCAAATTCATTGCCAGCCCGATGTACAAAATGAGTTCCAGGACAGCCAAGGCTACACAGAGAAACCCTGTCTCAAAAAAACCAAAACCAAACAAAAAAACCAATAAATCTTTTCTTAGTACTCACAAAAATAATTAATAAAAGCATTCTTTTTAGAAATAGAATTTGTTTTGGTTTGGTTTGGTTTGATTAAGTTCATGTAAACCAGGCAGGCCTAGAAGTTGTGATTCTTTTTGCTTCTGCATCCTCAGTTCAGCCAATTTAAGCATATGTATCACCATGCTTGGCAAAGATAAAAGTGACCTCAACTTTCTAAAATGAATAATTGGAGAATCTCATGGACAGGTACATATTAATATCATTATTTTTGCAGCCAGTCAGGCAAGAGATTTGTTATCCAAAATGCTAGTAATAGATGCATCCAAAAGGATCTCTGTAGATGAAGCTCTCCAGCACCCATACATCAACGTCTGGTATGATCCTTCAGAAGCAGAAGCCGTAAGTTATTTCCTTAATGTTTGAAGAACATACTGCAATCTTAGAGATGGTTAAAATTGAGTTTGAAGGGAAACATCATTTTAAATAAAAATGTGATAGATGATGTTAATATTATCCTAGTTGTTTATGAAGCAAATCTTAGGTTAATGAGCATATATCCAAGCCATCGCACATAGTCAAGTAACCTCCCACTCTATTTCTCTATTTCTCTATTTCTCTCTAACCTTCTCACTCTATTGAACTGATTGATAGTTGGTTAGAGGAGCTAGGATGTCTGTGGGTGCTTTCTTAGTTAGAAATGTTTTGTACACAAAAACAGCAGAATTCTGTAGTACAGGTAAAATAGGACAATTTCAAAAGTTGGGGAGATAAAAGAAAAAAAAGAAAAGCATCTTATTTCTTACAAAAGAATTTTGCAGTGCTACTTTTCAGAAAGTTAATGATGACTGATCAGTATTTGACTATGATTTATTTTTACAAGTCTTAGGTCTGGCTGATACTTCAAATAATTAATAGGGTTTATACTTTTAGTAAACTAACTCAGTTGTTACTGACTTGTGTCTTTCAGCCACCACCAAAGATCCCTGACAAGCAGTTAGATGAGAGGGAACACACAATAGAGGAGTGGAAAGGTAAGGCTCAACACAGTCTAAACACTGATTGGCCCTCTGGCTTTCTGCAGTGACTTCTTCATGTTAAGGAAATTAATGTTACATTCTGTTTTGATAACATACTTAGTAATGTTTTTGTTCATTTGTTTTACAAAAGTGGGAAGTCAGTTTCCTTCCTTAATATTTGAAATTCTCCTCCACCTCAGCTGTAGGCACTTACGTGTCTTCTTTGTTTCTACAACCATGTTTGGGGTATCGCTGTGGTTATATTCACAGTATGCTATACACATTTGTCTGTTGATGCATCCATACAGCTCAAATGTGACACTCTTGGCCCACACAGCTACCTGTGCAGTTTAATAGCTGGTATGTGGGGAGCTATAGAGAAGTTTGTCTGCGTCCAGCTCCCATGTGAGAAGCACTCCCATGTGAGAAGTCCATGTGTGGACTTCACGCAGTCCATTGCTGTGTTCATGAGAGCAGTCCAAAGCCTCAGGCTGGACCAAATGGTAAATGTTAGTTTCTTCCCGGTTTTTATCAACAAAATTGTAAATTCGCTTTGATGAGCATGACACAAGAGTGCCAATCTATCCTCACTGTCACCAGTAGAATGGCTTAATTTATCATCTTTGAACATCAGATTTAGTTTTTCTATTTTATGAATATGGTTATATATAAAGATGCTTTTTCTTTATTATTTTAGTGTACAAAGTAACAGGTTTCATTATAACATTTCAGATATGTGTATCACTTTACATTGTTCGTATAAACCTACTACCCTCTTATGTCTTCCCTTATTTTCTCTCTGGACCCTTTTCTCCCTCTAATAAGCCCCTGTATGCTTTTGTGTCGTACTTATTTATATTATCAAATCTCGTTCCACATAAGACAGAAAATATGTAATATTTATCTTTCTGAGTCAAGTTTATTTTACTTAATATGATACTTTACAGTTCTATTCATTTCTGGGAAATGACATAATTTTATTCTACTTTATGGCTGGCTAAAACTACTTTGCATACATATACACCACTTTTTCTTTTGAGACAGGGTCTTACTACATAGTTCTGGCCGGCCTTGAATTTACCAAGAGCTGTTTGCCTCTGGAGTGCTGGGATTAAAGATATATGCCACCACACCCCTGCTCACCACATTTTCTCTACCCATTTTTCTGTTGATGGGCATCTGGCTAATAGCATATATTGCTGCTGTGAATAATATACCTCAGTGAAAATGGGTGTTTGGACATCTTTGTTGTATTCTGCCTTAGACTCCTTTAATGGAATTCTGTTTTTTAATTTTTTTTTTCTGAGGAACCAATAATTTCTGTAGTAACTATTCTAATTTATATTTTTAGTAATATGTATGAAGGTTCCTTTTTTTTAACCACATTTTTGCAAGTATTTGTTGCCTTTTTTTAGTGGATGGTAGCTATTTTGATTAATGTTGGATAAAATATTGGTACTGTTTTTGTATGTCCCTTGTGGCTTGGAATGTTGATCATTTTTTCATATATCTATTGTTTATTTATATTTTTTTTGAGAATTTTCTATAGTTGAAAAGAAATTTTCCATTTATTGGTTAGGTGATTGATTGATTGATTGATTGATTGATTGAGTTTTGATAATGCTTTTGATGATTGTGGTAATGTTAAAATAAAAACATGTAAGTGGCCCAAGCTTGCATCAAACTATGATTTCTCAGCCTCTCATGTTCTAGGATTACAGGTGTGCCATGCCTAGTCTCCCACAAAGGCTTCTTTATAAAAAGCTTGAACTTCAGGAATTATACAAACCTTTTGGAAATCTTTACATTTTTGGTTCATACTTTTTCACAGAATTACTTTTATTTAATTTTTCAAAGAATGCATGACCCAGAGGTCATAGATAATGGTAATGAACATGGAATGTTCATGGACTGTCACAATGCTATGGAAGATTAGGGTATGGGGTACATACTGCACACTGTCTTTTCTCAGTCAAATCTTTCTTTGCTGTGATCTGCTGTTGCCCCCACACTCAGGGACACAAGAGTTTTAGAAAGGGGTGTTGGTTTCACGCCTGCTATAGGCTGCTTGGATGGAGGTAAAGCTGCTGCTTCTGCTTTTTCTTCAGTAAAAACACCTTTCTGTCCCATTCTAATTGTAAATGCTGCTTTGGTTATAAATCTTTGTAATTATACCCATGTTGCATAAGGCCAGGGCTTAGGAAGTAGAAGGAAGATAAGCACAGACCCCAGCCCTCACTTTGACAGAGTTAGACAAGCATCTGTAAGGCAGAATGCTGTGTGTCTGATAAACTGAAGGCAGTTGCTGGCTTCTGACAGCAGTTGCCCTTTAACCAGCTTGAAGTTAGAGCAGAGAGCTTTGCTTTATGTCAACATAGTCTGGGGTTGAAGATCTGAATTGCTAACACCCATGAGTCTGAAGCTAACACTCGCTTGATCCCCTGCAGTTGCTGTCATTGCAAGGACCCAGCTTGATGCACCTAACAGATACACAAGCTTTGACTTAATTACATACCTGTATACTCTGATTTCAAAAAATGTATTTTTCCTCTTCTTTTTCAGAACTGATATACAAGGAGGTAATGGACTTGGAAGAGCGAACTAAGAATGGAGTCATAAGAGGGCAGCCATCTCCTTTAGGTTGGTTACAATATAAACCTGGTTGAGGTTTACAACTTGTGTTAAAATCTTCAGGGGCCTGAGACCTGCAGTTCTTCTCATGCCCACTCACTTTGATAGTTAGATTTTACAGCACTGGCACACTGTTATCTCAATACATTGGCTGTTGGCTTTGTTCTACTGATTTAGACCTGGTTTTCATTGGCACTGCTGCCGTGTTTTTAAAGAAGAATTCCCTAGCAGTCAATATGCTTTGATTTGAACAGTCTTCAGTTGGCGTAGATAAAAACATCACTACAAAATTTGTTCCATGTACTATCAAGTACTGATGTTCTTTTTGGTACTTTTGTCATACTTGAAAACAGGCTCTTGGAGGACCTCTTGTATCTAAGTGTTGGGTTCATCATTATGCAGAATGAGGATGATCTTAGATTCCGAGGTGTAGCTTAGCAGAGTTGCTACCTGTTTGCTATCAGCACCTTGGGGCCCTGAACCCACTGTTTTTATTATATAAATGTGTTCTTGAGACCCTTATTTAGTAAGCTAATGGCTTGAAAGTTGCTACCTATTATTGAGTTGTTTTAACATAGTCCTACCCCAGAATGAGGCCTACCCCTTAAAAGGATTTCTATCTCTGCATAGGTATTCCTATTTTGTGAGGTTTGGGTTTCTTTAACTGCAAGAAATACTTGTTGAATACTGCTTTTAGCAGAGAAAAACATTTGCTCTCTCTTTGTTTAGTAAGTCTGTATTTATATTCACTTAGTATTTACCAGGCAAGTGTAGAATCAAAGACCTGAATTTCCCTAACTAGGCTGTTTGTGTTACTGTGGCAAGCCACACAATCTCGTGTAGACTGGGGCACTGGATTCAGGTCCTCCCTAATCAAAATGGTTTCTTTGTGTTGGCTTTCTGTTGTGTCAGATGTACCAGAAGTGTCACGTGGCTACTGTGTGGCTTTTGTTTTGTTTTGTTTTGTTGGTTTTTTTTTTTGTTTGTTTGTTTTTGTTTTTGTTTTTGTTTTTTTTTTTTGTGTGTGTGTGTGTGTGAAACACTACCAAAGGTAATTTTAATTCTCAGACTTTTTTTAGTCATTCGGTTATTTGAGATTTTCTTTCCAACACAATGCAATGTAATCAGTTTTGTGTGTACTTAGAACACACCTTGAGGCACATTCATGGATCTTGCTATAGGGCAATTCTCCATGTTACTTTTAACTCCGTGGACTTTTAACTTCTGTCTTAAACTAAAAATGCACTATGGAAAGGACAGGAATGTTGGTTTCTAGACATTTGCAGAATTCTCCTCCCATAGCTTGTGTGGACAAGAAAACATTAGTGTTAGGTCCAATATGACTTGGCACCCCACTAAGCCCAGGAAGAGAAGGATGTTGACACTGGAGGTAGGCAAAACAATGCAGGCAGCTCAGTCTGCAACTCTCTCTGCAACTGGTTTGCTGTTTTGTTTCTCATAGCACAGGTGCAGCAGTGATCAATGGCTCTCAGCATCCATCGTCTTCACCGTCTGTCAATGACATGTCTTCAATGTCCACAGATCCGACTTTGGCCTCGGATACAGACAGCAGTCTAGAAGCATCGGCCGGACCTCTGGGCTGTTGTAGATGACTACTTGGGACTTGGGAGGGTGGGAGGGGTGGGGAATCGGTTAGTCATTGATAGAACTGCTTTTGAAACAATTCAGTGGTCATATTTTTGAGTGATTTTTTTCAGAAAATGTAGAATTCATTTTGTAGTAAAGTAGTTTATTTTTTTTAATTTCAAGTGTTGTAATTTAAAACTTAAGTTGTGTTTTTAAACAGCAACAAAACTGTATTGTATTTTTGCTGTAATTAACTGTATAATGTAAACCTAATTATTTTATCATGGTTTAAATTTTTGCATATTTGCTTTATCTTATGCTGCTGATTTTTTTTAACTGAATTTGTAAGATTTTTGTTTATCAAAGCAACTATTAAGTGGTGACTTGCATATATCATGAATTATTTAAGATGTTTATAAGTTTTTTATTAGAATTTATTTTAGATGTTTGTTCATGATGCTATCCTTCAGGGTTATGTGCTTATCAATGAAATAACCCCAGAGGAGTAAGGGAAAATAACCTGTAGTCAGTTATATTCAGGAATAACTACTGTAAATGATGAACGTGTCAAGAAACCTCCAATATTTGCTACTTGCCAATCCCAACTTAGTTTAAACAATTGATAGACAACCTTACCTAAATTTTGGCAAACACCTTGTTATCTAAATGGCAGAATAACTCCGAGCATGTCTTTAAAGATGTTGGGCACATCTTCTACCTTTTGAATCTCCCCAGCGAAAACTTGAATTAAGAAATGTGGTATGCTTTGAACATTGGTGGCATGCTTAGAGCTTTTGACCACATAAAGTCAAGAGGATACTTGGTGAGTATACACTGAGTTAATCTCCTCAGGCTATGTTGGTCCTGGCATTGGTCAAAAGTCTGGACTTTCTCTTTTGTACAGTTTCTGGCCTCTGAACCTTTCTTAGTTCCTGTTTCCTTGGAGGGTCAGTCTATTGAGCACTAGTTTGTTGTGGTGTTTCTGGCCATTTGATTCTACCTGTAGCATAATCCTATTTCTACTAGCTGTCAGGAGGTTCCAAAGCCTACTTAAATATGTGTAGGTGACATTTAAATGAGCAATATACCGTTCATCTGAAAATAGTAGCACACAGCCATATATGTAGGATGTCATTTTCTAAGGACTGTTTCTTCACAGCGAGCAGAGCAGGCATAGTGGTGGTTCTTTAGTCCGGGGCTTTGATTTCCAATACAATACGCAGTGTGGACGTTGAGTAGTGTAAATGGTGCTGCTCTGACAAGTGTGTGTTAACTGTTTACATTTTATATCTGCAGAACCCTTTCTCTGTAACTGAATTCTTCCTAAGTAAAATGTCATCAAGGTCTCATTATTTCTGAAATGACGTCTGTAATGCCCAGGCACCTTTGGTATTGTCTGGAATAAGAGGGATTCCATGTAAAGACTTGGGAAATGCATACTTCATGAGCTGCAAGGTTGTGGGAAGAAGCCCCTTGGAGCCCACAACCAACAGGAGTAAGAACAAGCACAGCTCAGCAAATTTTTGAAAGTTTGTTTAACATTTTTTTTTTAATTTAGTGTAGAATTACTTTCAAGTAAGGTATTTTAAGTCATTGTTGATGTGCAATACTTAAGGTTAAGCTATGTTAGCCTTTTATATCTTTTTAAATGTAGCAAGTTAGTTTATCATAATTTCTAGCCTCCCACCTTTTAGTGATTCCTTTTCTACATGTACAACATGGTGCATTAGTTTTATTTGATAAGTATAAATTTAAGACATGCCTCCTGGGTTGTAGAAGTACAAGATTGGAGTCAGGATATTAGCGGAAATTGGAGCATGAGTGTGTCCTTATTTTGTGTTAGTTTTACAACTAAGTGGTTCTGTTTTTCCTAGGATATGATGTGTCACTATTGCACTTTGACAGCTTGACATGCTTTCATTCGTTTCCTGTGTTTTATGTTTGATTGCTGAGAAGCCATCTTTCATGATGCAGATTGTGGTTAAGTAAGGAATACCAGTTGTTCTGATTGTATCATGTAATTGCCAGCTCCCACTTGCCAGCCATCATGTTTCAGTTGAATTAAAAAAGCAAACAAACAAAAATTAACAAGCTTTCAATGCTTAATGTAAACTGAAATACTTAACACAAATATACCCTAAAAGCAAAGTCTGTTTGTTAAATGTTTTGCCCCAGCTTTTTAAGATCCATTGTTTACACATCTCCCTGTTTTTGCTCAAATATGTTTTCATAAATCATATTGGTACTTTTAGAGTCTTGAAGCCTAAGTATTTTTTTAAAGAAATTACAAATAACATTTCTGTCTAGCAGTACTTGTTAAGCCACCCTGTAATTTGACTTTTCAATTATATAGATTTAAGATACTCATTGTCTTACTGTCCAGAAGTTGTTTAGCTGAGAATTCACATTCAACTCCATGGGTCAGGAAAGAGACCTGATTCTTCCTACATGTCTTCCTGGTTACAGTTCTCCTATCCTCATATATACTGACCATCTGTAAGATGACGATGTTGTTGGGATTGCTTCATTATAAATAGAGCATCTCAACGCTTTCATACTAGTTGTCATGTCGTGCTGCTCATTGCCAACTCTTGGAAGAGCGCACACAAGAAGCAAAGGCCCAGTGCTCTCACACTCGGCTTTTAAGAGAAGCTTGATTGTACATAGCAGCAGCTTACCTGTCAGCCTGTGTCACTCTGTTAACCCCAAGACATGGAGGCCAAGAGGACACTGGCAGAATGAGCAGTAGGCAGGTGAAGCTGTTTACTGAGTTACAGAAAGAACTTGGTTTACACTATTGGCCAGTTCCTGCCATGCACATGAAGACAACCATCAGTGTTGCCTAAGCACTAGCCTGCACAGCATTTTGAGATTAAAAAAAAAAAAAAAAAAAAAGCATAGTATATTTTCAGAACTACTGTTGTAGATTGTGAATATTGTTCATTAGTCACACATTAGTGTAGAGTGGATGCATGATGCCCCATGACCCCAGTAATCTTATCAGTGAGTAGAAAACCCAGCACCATCTCTCATCCGTGGCGCTCTTCAGCATCGCCTCTGTGGCTTGTTGCATTTTAGTGTGCATTGTGTTTCTTAGGTTTCTCCTGGACCACAAGAAACAAATTTGTCTTAATAGCATGGAAGATGAAAGAAACAAAGGGCATTGAAGCAGGAATATGTAGTTTGGGGTAAGATAGGAAAACCTGTGTCCTAATTAATTTCAAAGCAACTGCTCTTACGCAAAGTGCCCTTAAGGGGAGTCTAGTAAGAGCAACTTTCTGGGCGCATCTGGTTTAGATTCTCTTTGTTACTGAAACTCCTGAGAAATATTACCTGTGGATTAGTTTTGCACAATGTCCTATTCTCACAGTGACTTAAAATTAAACTAGGTTTTTATTGAACTACCTCACACTGATTTTCTATGCTTTCCCAAGTAAGCCGTTGCCCTTCCTGTTAGATCTTTACTGAGTGTGAATTATTAATGTGCGTTGAGTACTTTCTAGCCACTGTCCACAGAGTACCAGTAAGTATGTGAAGCGCACCCTTGCATCGGTAAGAGACAGTCCCGTGTCGTCTTCCACTGTGTCTGGGGAATTGTGCGACGTGTGCTCATTGACATCATCACTGTTTTTTGTAAGAAACCTGCTCGAGATATCAGTCCACGCTTTACATTTTACAAAAGGGGTAAATCTTAGTAAATTTTACGAAGAAATAAATTACTTTTGTAGGCCCGATATTTGGTATATTTTTGAGAAGCTGTTAATCTTATAGCGGATGATGAAGTTAAACTGAAGTAGCTGTCTGCCTGGACTGTGACATCTATTTTCTCACTACAGTTTATCCTGTACCACAGAACCTAAGGATGATAATTAGAAATCTTTTCTCTCTCTCCCTCTATGTGTCATTCCTTCTTCATCCCTTCCCTTCCCTGTGCTCTCCTTCCCTCTCCTCCCCTCTCTAAACAGAACAAAATGGGGCACTTTGTAGGGAATGCTGAGATCATTATTGTGGTTTATTCGTCCATGCCCTAGTCATTCAACATGCACCACTGGATGTAAACAGTGTTATCTAGTATGTCAATTGGTTATACTATTTTAAATAAAAAAGAAAAAGTGGTATGAAAGTAAGAGTTTTTCATTGAAAACAAACAAAAAAATGTGTTTTTTTTTCCTGGTGGCTTTAGGTTTCCTGTGGATTGAGGTAAGGTTATAAGTAGGACAGGTGTCTTAGGTTTGGATTGTACACACATTTTCATCCCAGTTATCACTGCTGGTGTATGGCTTTATCTAGTCTTGCTGCTCCTACATTTGAAATCACTAGAGGAACGTTATGAAAGGAACTTTGCTTCAATGCCCTTTGACCTAGTAACTGCATGAGACAGCAGCCATCACGACCACTTGGTAAAAATCAGTATCATACCTTAGTCTGTCAAAGCAAGCAGGAGGTTTGAGCGTGGAGCCTGTTGTATCTGTTCTGTGCACAGGTTCTCATCACTTCTGCTGGTTGAGCTGCATGGAGGCGTACAGGGTCATGCCAAGTGCTTAACCCAGCCTATAGGATGGCATCCCTTCATCAGGCCTGGCTCCTGTCCACACAGCCTTTGGACGTCTGCCATCCTTCTCTGCCTCTGCATACACTAACTTCTGAAGACAGTCTGCTGACTTGACAGCCATGAGATTGCTGAGTTGGTGCATGCTGTCCTGTTCCTGTCATTAGATAGGGAGGCAGAATAGCAGAAATTGGCATCAGAATGTTAACTTCACTCTTGGTATAGATGAGTGATAAGGGTTTCCACCCACTCATTAGGTGGAGTTCTTTGTTTGGCTAATGCAGGTCTTTCTTGCTTTTTGTTTGTTTGTTGCTTTTTGTTGTTGTTGAGACAGGGTTTCTTTCTGTAGCCGCCTTGGCTGTCCTGAACTCACTTTGTAGGCCAGGCTGGCCTCGAACTCACAGAGATCTACCTGCCTCTGCCTCACTAAGTGCTGGGATTACAGGCATGCACCACCGTGCTTGACTTTGTGGTTAATTTTTTAAAAGCTATTT